CAGCAGTTTTATTGTTATTAAAAAGAATATATATTGACAGTGGAAAATACAGCTTTTAGATAAAAAAAAGCATCGTCTGAGTCTCTTTATTGTTCTGTCTTCACACTGTGTAGGACTTTGTTGATGAGTTTCTGGATCTCTCTCTGTCGCGCTGTTGCTCGGCTGATGCACTCCTGCAGCTTCTCTCCTGACATGGATGTTCCACCTGAGCCAGAGAGAAAGACTTTGAACACAGATGTTTTCTTTCTTATTTAGCTTCATGCAGGGTCTTAAAAAATCTAAAATTCAATAATCTACAGTTTAGGCCTTGAAGAGTCTGTTAAAATATTGCATACTAAACTACTGTGTACTTAAATATGTTGAGGTGGGTCTCAGTTATGTCAGCTTTAATTTAATGCTTCTTTGTCTTTAAAATAAGAGAAATGAGAAATATTTTGGCTCTGGATACCTGCTGTCTCTGCCTGAAGGTGTTTCGCAGTTTATTCTCTATTCGGCTACTTCACTTCATCTTAAATTATGGGGAAGTGCAAGTAATTCTGGGACTCTAATATTCTTCATTACAAATATACAAGATCATGCAGCTGCTTCCAAAACTCTGTGGGAATTTAAACTGCCTTTTACTTCATATACTTTCTAAATAACAGCAACAGAGAAAGAGAAGTGGGATCTATTTAAGATGTTTTCATTTATTTTGATTTATAACAACTTTTTAAGTTAAAATAGCAGCTTCAATAAAACAAGTTTGATGGTTCACAGACTTGGAATAGAGAGAATGTTTCCTCTTTCATTCTCACTCCTCACCCTGATGGTATGTTCTTGTAACTTTGGTGAGTGAGTACGATCTCCTGTGAGAAGTGAGGAACTGACAGATTCAATTTAGTTTAAGAGTAAAGCTGAACTGTAGATCAGTTAAAAAGAACTAAGAAGTTCAGTTATAAACCAGTCTATCTTTAATATTCAACTAAAATATGAAGAATTCTAAACAGTTCGGTTTGTTACAGCAGCAGCTGTTCTGGTTATATAAAAGTTGCACAGCATTGATGGAAGTGGAAGAATAATTTCCACTTAAAGTTCCAACACTTGAGCCTCTAATCCTCCATAAACTGCAATTTAACCTCTGATTTATTCTTGTTTTCATTTTGTATAAATAAAAGTGCTGAGCAGCATCATATCCAGAGATAAACTACTTCTTAATGTAACATTCGTGCTCTTAAAACCAACTGGATGGATGAACTTCTTTCACAGCTCTGCATTCTTCACATCAGAGGGTTCCTTATGATGTTTTCGTTAGTAGGATAAACACCAGAAGAAGCCAGTCACTTCACCTGGTTTGTGTAAAGAGCAGAGTCGATCTTCTTCATCCGTCACCACAGTCAGCTGGGCGGTCGCCAGACTCTCCTCCTCGGCTGTGGGGTCTACGATCAGTATGGAGCTGCACACAGATCGAACCAGAGTCAGACACACAAACACAGAACGAGGTTTTTACCTCGTCTGGACAAACTTAAAAACTCAGTCACTTACTCGTCAAAGATACAGAAAGAGGTGGCGACTGGATGTTTGTGAATGTGCAGCCCACGTCTCTTCTCTGAATTGACCTCTGGCGCACACGTCTCTGTGTTGGTGGTCACCTCTGGGAGTTGTGCTGAGGGGGAACAGGGAGCAGTGAAGTTAGCATACGGATGAAAAGCAGCTCATAAAAAGAGATTGATCATTTGTTATAGCACGTACTGTTCTTCAGAGCAGCCAGCAGGGCAACGACACAAGCGTCCAACAGGTTCCCGTCGTAGTCGAGACACATTATGTCACAGTAGAGCACCCAGCAGAGCTGCAACCACAACCAGCACAGTCAGAACCAAGGATCCCAGTCTTAACAACAGCAGCAGTGTACGTGCACTCTTCTGGATTTACCTTTCCTCTTTCAATGCACAAGTCCTCTGTTTGTATCACCTCAGAGCTGCGAACCCAGATTAAAACATGTAGGTTAGTAAAAGCATCGACAGGAGTGAAGAGGATTAACACGAGCTGTTTTCAGACATGAACTCCGGAGGATGTCCGCTCCGTTGGGTCCTGACTTTCTTCTAAGTTTTCCTTTTGCATATGAACGACGCAGAAATATCTGGAGCAGTCACTGTTGTCGGCTCTTATCAGAAACAACTGCAACTGAATCTTGTGGTTTTTTCCTCTTTGACATCTTCATCATTATTTTCAACATGTATATTTGTATTCTTTTGAGCTCACTGACATTATCTGGAGTTTAGGTTGGCAGGAGAAGCTCAGCAGAATGTCTGCAGATTATCCAGAGTTCAGTTCACGTCTGAAAGCAGCAACTCGCTGATGAAAGCTAAGAAATGTCTGTTAAATTCAGCTGCGACCTTTCGATTACATCTGCGATGAACTGGCTGGCGGCCTGGGCCTGTTCTCCTGGCGGGCCCGGTCGAAAGCGCGAGGAACAGAGAGGAGGCAGGTCCACGTTGGGCACTAACGAGGACGGACAGAGAGCTGCAGTCAGTGTTGGTTTGTTTATTAGGATCCACAGAAGCAACACATACACAAAACTCAGTTACTAAATTAAAAAAACCAACACACAGATATTAACACATCAGAAGGGGAAATACATGAGACACAGTCACATTAGAAACACGATTAGACAAAGATCAGCTCAAAATAATATTCAATCATTTTTAATCTGTCCAGAGAGTTAAACTAACGTTTGTTTGTGAGGAAGATAACTTCAAAACTAATGGAAAGATTTCCATGAATCAAGGATGTGATGTGGGTCCGGATTCTTTTTTCAACTTTCTTTAACTTTGCGATCTCGATGAAAAAACAATAGGTATGTGTAGCGGACTAATAATTATGAGTGTGTGAGTTTGCATTTTACGTAACGCTGCATAATATTAGGCACAAAGTGAGTGTTGGTCTATATTCACCCAGAGCACTTACTTCTGCACTTGACACCTTCATACTGTACTTACCAATGTAGCCTTTACCAGGTGCTTCCACTGGAGGATTCGTCAACTCCTGCACGAGAAAAGAAAGCACGAGAGTAAACATCTGTGTATCTGATCCAGAATCAGTGAAACAGGGTTCACGATCATTTACCGCTTTGATCCCACAGATCACTGTAGTGTTTCCAAACTTCACCAGGGTTGAGCCGTCTGCCGTGGATATAGACCCTGAGAGAGGAAATGATACCACAGTCTTTTGCATGTGTCTGATCGTGTGCTGATCAATAATGGCTGATCAACATTGTTAAGAATTCAGATAAATAATAATAATAAAATAAATGATCTTTACAATGATTCAAAAACCAAAGACCGAACTTTCAGTCTTGTCGTATTGAGTACAACATGCTGTTTAGATAAGTAACTGAAAACAGCTTTAAAATGTGATGATTTCACACATAATATTTGTTTCCATCAGCTGAGTCTCACCGATGTTCAGTGTTGTGGTTCTGAATTCTGACAACTCTCGTCCATCAGGTCTGCAGTTTTCTTTCTGGAGGAGGAGAGTTGGAATTTTATATTGTTATAAAAACAAACACACATGTGTAACGTTAAAGTCAGAAGACAAATGTTTTCAATCACTGACCAGGAAGCTCCTGTGGTACTCCAGAGGCTCAGCAGTCCTGTGAGAATAAAAACACAGAGTACGTACATGATACACACCTCGAGCTAAAATACTGTTGTATAGAAATATACTTGAGTAAAGAATATTTACACAGAACGAGGGTGTAAACTGTATTTGTGCATTATGTCTAAGGAGATGTTGAAATAGACGAATACAAGCGTATTTAGACTGTTATTATGAGTATAAACAATAAAAGGATGTGTACTAATATACAGGTATAAAATAGTTTACAATATAATATAAATATAAAAAGGTATGTGGGTGTATACGGTTTTTGCGGAATGATAAAGATAAGATGATATAAGATACAATAATACAAGTTAATATAATATAAACGTATTGTACAGAGAAAGTGTAATCGATTGTCTGACAGTCAGAATTTAAATAATTGATTTAATAATGAATCCATCAGAACCGCGTCACGTCTGAGATTCACCAACATCAGTTACGAACAGTCGAGGTCACAGCGCCCCCTAGTTTCTGTTCCCATCGTCTACTAACGAACTATTCCTCCGTCAGACTTGAATCAAACACGACACGAGAGTAAAACACGTCTTTAAAGCGACATGTGTGAGAAACAGCTGAGGTCCGAGGAAACTCACTTGAAACCAGCCGCCATGATGTTTTGATTAACCACGTGGGTCTGACTTCCGCATTACGGTGGCCGGGAAGGAGGGAAGCAAAAATGCGATCGTCCCGCTTTCCCCTCGGTGGAAAATCATGACATGTTTCACTCGTGGGGAAAAAACTCACTTCACAAAAATCTGAGACGATGAAGGATTCGAACAGATGTTTTTTTCTGTTATTTACCTCTGACAAGTGTTTTTTCTTAGTGGATTATTATTCAGATTTGTTAGAGACAGATTATTTTTATTTCTTGCTTATTTTATTCAAGAAATGTCCTCAAGACGTTGAAAAGGAACATCCTTCTCTTACCTGACACGTTGTTTGCTTAGAACAAGTCTTTATGAAATGTAGAAGTTTATTCCTTTACCTGTTTGTTTCTCTTAATTTCTCTTTTAAATGAAGGTCATTTACTCGTAATCGAGAACTTTAACATTGTTTTATTTGTACTTTCAAGTAAAGGACATCAACACTGCCCAAAACCCCTGACAAATAAACAGACTGTACTTTTGTTTTTGCACAGGTGTCATACATCCCACAAGGTCATGCAGGAGCTTTCCCCTTCATCGCATGGTCTTCATCATGATCAACTTTTATTCCAACACAGATGAGAAGTCCTAAAAATGTGCTGAGGTAGAAATGATGTTATCAGATCCATCACCATGACAACAGAGCAAACTCTGAAGAGGAAGACTGTGTTATACATCGGAGAGAAAAAAAACAACTACATGTTTCCATAATGCTCATTGTGTTTATTTGTCTTTTCTTTTACATCGAGTGGATACTTTTTCTACATACAGTAAATCCTTGAACGTCAGCTGTGCAGAACAAAAGATAAACAGCCTTTATTTTCATTTCTGACTCCATCTTGGAAAGACTTTCTTCAGGTTAAAGGGTCGCAGTGTTTTCTTATCACATGCCACAGTCACATCACAACTGAAGCCCTTTAATGTGAACAGTCCAGTAATCCACAGTAAATGTACATTTTTAAAAGAAGGCATTTCTCAAAGTGTTTTGAAGATAAACAACAGTTGGTGGTTTCTTATAATGCCGCCAAATCTTTTTCAACACTATCCATTGTTGGAAGTGGTATATCTAATTTTATCTTCATGTGTTTTCTCAACCTTATTATAAAAGGGTGGCACAGTGGTCATTAACACAGTCGCCTAACAGCCAGAACGTTCCCGGTTCGAATGCCGGTTGGGCCGGGGTCTTTCTGTTTGCATGTCTTCATGTGTTTGCTTGGTATAATCTGGCATTTTCCCATAGTCCAAAAACATGCAGATTGCGGGTTAGGTTAATTGGAGAGTCGAAACTGCCCGTATGTGTGAATGTGAACTGTCTGTATATATTGGCCTCCAGGGTGTAACCTGCCTCTCGCCCAATGTTAACTGGGATTGGCTCCAGCCCCCCTGCAGATCCACAGATCTGTCCTCTGCTTTTATTTTGTCCAGTGAGCTTGATGGCTCAATTCTTCACTGAAGAAAGATGTTTTTTTCCAGAGGATTGTGCAACTAAAGCAGGAGGAGAGGGGAGATGATGAAATAGTCAAACAGAGCAGAGCACCAGTGGCAACGACTGTGAGTCAGAATAAATAATTATTTTATTACTTTGCAAAAATGCTACTGAAATGAGATTAACGACATCTCCACCAGTCCGAAGGTGACGGCGTTGCTGCAGTTGTTTCTGATTAGACGTCAATGCTGGTTTATGTGCCTCAAGTTAAATCACAAGCTGCTGCAGCACAGACAAAAAGCCGCCGTTCATCTGTCTCATTCCTCTTTTGAGTCTTCAGCCGACAAGTGTCAAAGTGTCTTGACGTGCAAACAGGAATATTGATTTACACAGAGCACCAGCAACTCTGAAAAAAAACAATCTCCATTCAGTGCATTCACTTTCTACTGAGATAAATATCAGCTGGTGTTTTCCACTGTTGCTTGGTTTCCTCATTCCTGGAGAAAAGCTGCCTGCAGCAACAATTCAACCACGAGTATTACCAACCAATCATTTAACAATACGGTAACATGCCTCATATACTATATTTGATGTGTCCCTGGCACAGACAACGATGCAATTAGCAAAATCAAACCGGCTTTTACTGAGTTGTTTTTCTGTTTGTATCAGCAACATATTTTGTTCTGTATATAACATGTATAAAGATATATCTTACGTATCTTTAGAAAAATTCAAGAACTCAATCAGCACCCGACTCAAGAAAAGTTTTATCAAGCTCGTCCTAAGTTTCCACCTCAGAGCAGCGCTGCCGGATGTGTTGCTTCCTGGACTCATTTGTTTAATTTCTATTTCCAAGAAAAACTGAGAACAAAGAACAGTGTTTGAATGATGAATGTGTGACGATCACCAGTGAAGTAACTGAAGTTCACAGATTCTTCTTCTCGGCTCAAAACTCACGCAGTGCGTGTGAGCTGATACCCCCATATGCCCTGGTCCATTCAAATCCACGCTGGCAGAGGGTCCTGGGATGGATCTCACCTCTTCAGAGTCGAATGCACCCCTGAAGACCTTTTTTTTTTTGGATGCGCAATTACCCAGAAACCATCTCTCCACCTCCCTCCACAAACACTTGGATATGTATCCGCAATTAAGCGTGTTGTGACTTTCTGGTCATAATTCCGTCTTGATTCTGTGCATCAGATCTCTCTGGTCCACCATGTCCACCTGTCTGTTCCAGCGGTGGTAGGCCAGCAGGGCGATGTTCTTGGCAGCCACTGAGCTCATCTCCATGGCACTGCCAGCCCACTCGATGCCGTTGAGGTAGTAGAGGTTGGGATGGAGCTCCACAGGCGGCAGACCCTGGCTGCTGCTGTAATGAGAGTAGGGCTGCCACTCTGTCACCTGCACCGAGTAGTACGACCTAAAGATGAGAAGAACAGTCAAGATGGAGAAGTGTAACTGTAAATGTATTCATATATTGACAGCATAATCACCAAGTTCAATCAGTGTGGCATGGCATTTGTTGCACATAGGCAGACCGATTCTTGAATGTTTGCTGGTTTTATGATGACTTATCCAGGAAGGAAGTGACTGACCTGAAGAGTGTTTTGAGCTGAGACTTTTCCAGATGCTGTGGCGAGAATACTTTATAGACTCCAGCCTCTTGAGGCTGCTTACGCCGGAACCCTGACGAGATGTTGACGGGGCAAATGCTCGCCACGCTGTTGAAGAACACATCGGGTGTCTCAGATGTCAAGATGCTGGCGAAGGGGAACAGGCGGGGGTCGGGGAAGCCAAAGAAAGAGGTGTTGAGGTAACCGTGGACGATGGTTGCTACAGTGCTGTGGTAGTTGCCGGGGAGCTGGTCAAAGGGAGGTGTGAAACCCTGGAACTGGACTCCAGACTCGACACTGGCCGGGAGCGGCGTCGCCAACACAACGATGTCATACAGCTCTGATTCAGTTCCTGCTGCAGTGGTAAAGCTCAGCTGGTACTGGAGCGACTCCCCTACAAGACAAATACACAAAGTCAGTGTCAACACTATACTGCATTTCAAAACTAGAATTAGTCCTGTGGTTGTATGCCTTCGCCATCCGGTGCAGTTTCAGTCTACATACATGTTTTTCCCAGACTTATGTCACTGTGACTTTAACCACTGAAAACATTTGTACCCAAGATGTTCCCTCTCGAGAGTTCATGCTCACAAGGATGGGACAGACAACCCCAAACAATGGTTGTTCCTGCCATGCACAAGGGTTGTACAGTATATGCCACAAACTGGACTGTTTGATTGTGTCACTCCAAAAACTGAAAATCCATTTAAAACTGTATAAAAATAAATAAGTTGCTCGGTGTGGTCGCATTCAGACAATATCAGGAGTAAGGACCTGTCTGGATGGGGGAGATGGTGTTGACTTCTGCCTGCAGCAGGTTAGCGTTAGCTATCTTCAACAGGCCAGAACACACCAGCTTGTTTCCTCCTTCCACCGCCCACTGGTGGTTCTGGGCACCAGCTAAAGACACGGCACCTGAAAAAAAACGCACAAAGTCACTCACAACACAGTGTCAAGTTCTATAAGCTAATTGTAAGCTGCCCACACGTTTTCTTGTTCCCATGATCCCACAGTCCGCACCCTCCTCTCACCTTGCCTTCCTCTCTGCTACTCTCATCTACCTGCTCCTCCCACCCCCTCCTGTGTCTCCTCTCTTTCTTTCCTCTCTATGATGTTGCTAATTTCAACACTGCAACCTTCACTCTAATTCCACCGCACCATCACTCCATCGCTCATTTCATCTGACCTATGAAGGCTGGGATGCTGACGTTCTGCCCGTAGTTGACCCTCATGACGGGTGCGATCACCTCGTCGATGAAGCGCTGTGACACACCCAGCTCCAGCAGCGAATCGGAGAGCGGCCTTCGTGTCATGTTGATGAAACCACTCCCTCCCAGAGAGTCCAGCAGCTCCTCTACCGAGCTGAAGGCGTAGCCATGGGCCTGGTACTTGTATATCCTTTAATGTGCATGTAAACACAGATGGACATACTACATGAGTCATTCTTATCTTGAATTGGAACAACAGATCATTAGCGAAATATCTGTGCATCAACGATTCACATTTCTGGCTCACCTCATAAATTTCTCCATAATTTCCTCCACCCACATCTGCAGGCGTATGAAGCTGATGCCGTAGCGCCACCACAGTCGGAACAGGTCCAGCAGGTACCAGTCTGTCTCCTCCAGAATCATCTCCTTGCCATTAAACACTGCCGTCTTTCCCGCCACGCTGCGACGGTACTTCATACCTTCAGGGGCCAACACAAGAAAACACAAAGGACAGAACACACAGACGCAGGGCGGGGGGGACTTTCTTTCTTAGTTTGTTCACTTTTAATGTAAAAAGGACAGAATATCTTCTTCAAAATATCAATATTTCTTACTATGTTTCACAAACTATGACGTGTGTGTGTGTTTGAGCACCCACCGAGTTGTTTGACAAACTCCTGCATGTGGAGGTTGAGGGAGTGAATGATGGAACCTCCAGACTCGTAGTCATTGTGATTGACGGTCACGGTGGCGAGACGACCCCCGACCTCACCCTTTTCAAACACGTCCACCTGCACCTCAGGGCCGAAGTGCTGGCGCAGGAAGTGGGCCGTGGCGCTGCCTCCTATCCCCGCCCCGATCACCGCTGGAGAACAGGGGATCAGAGAAGAAGAGTGAAATTTTAGAATGTGAGAGTTTCTGAAAACCACACTGTCTCTTTATAAATGTGTATTTATGTATACATATATATATATATGTA